GCAGGTAAAGATGGAGGCCAGCCTGGTCTTCAAAAAGAGTTCCAGGCCAGCCAGGGGTCTTATTAACTGAAACTCCCTTAATCTCTTGGGCTTTTAGTACCAACACAGGAGGGAACAGGTGGAGTACAGCAAGCTTTGAGGCCAGGTTGGGCTACACAGTGAATTCCTGTCCATCCTGTTCGTCTGGTATTAAAACAAGGAAATAAACTGCAAAATGCCTGGGGCTGGCCTTTACCCCCAACACTCGGGAGGCAGAAGCAAGTGATCTCTGTGAGCTGAGGCCAGCCTGGGCTACAGAGTGAGGTCCAGGACTACACAGCGCAGTGGTTCTCAACCTTCCTAATGCTGTGACCGTTTAATACAGTTCCTCATGTTGTGGTGATCCCAACCATGAAGTTATTTTCATTGCTACACTACTTCATAACTGCCATTTCACTACTGTTACGAATTGTAACATAAATATTTGGGAGATAGAGGGTTGCCAAAGAGGTCGAGACTCCTAAGTTGATAACCACTGACAGAGAGACCCTGTCTCAAAAAAAACTCACAAAACCAAAAAAATACCACGACATAAATCAAAGCACAATTCAAGTCTTTGATCAGCTAACACCTATAAGCTCATCTGTTTCAATCCAGGAGAGCTGCCACTCAAAACATAAACTGATCATTTGATATGGACCAAGATGTGCTAGCACATTACCCCCCCCCCCTTTTTTTTTAAATTAAACACAGGGTCTCTCTACATAGCCTCTGCTGTCCTGGAACTCACCAGGCTGACCTTGAACTCAGAGATCCGCCTGCCTCTGGGATCAAATGCATGCACCACCATGCTACTCACATTTTTAATTCTAACACTCAGGAGACAGAGGCAGGAACATGGCAAATTCCAGACAGGCTGAGCTACATAGCCAGTTCCAGGTTAGTATGAACAACATATCATAGGCAAGACCCTGCCTCAAGAAATAAAATAAACAAAATACAATGAAGATATTTGAGACGAAAGCAAGCTGTATTTACGGGCAAAAAGCAATGTCTACGATCTACTGATCAGAAGGAAATCCGAATTCCTTATGCCATCTTGGGTCTCATATGACCAGTGAAGAGTGGCTAGGCTGGGTGAGACAGTGTCCTGATGGAAGTGAGTGACTTACCAGATGGAACACTGGTGGCAGGGTTCTGGATCCCAGCAGGACAGGAGGGGACTCCAGCGCTCCCAGTGTCTTCTCTGGCTCCTTTGAGCTTTTGTTCATCTTTCCCCTCACATCTCCCCCTTGTAGCCCCACCACCTAAACACAAAATGCCACCTGGTTGGACATCTGAGTCTCCACCCAGTTCACCCTATTTAGATAGTGACTTAATTGTATATCCATGCAGCCGGGCGGTGGTGGTGCACGCCTTTAATCCCAGCACTCGGGAGGCAGAGGCAGGTGGATCTTTGTGAGTTCAAGGCCAGCCTGGTCTACAGAGTGAGTTCCAGGATAGGCTCTAAAAGCTACACAGAGAAACCCTGTCTTGAAAAACAAAACAAAACAAAATGTATACCCATGCAAGAAAGAGGATAAACTGAGACTTGGGTGAAAGGCCAATTTATGGACTCACTTCACAATGAGTTTTATTAATAAGTGATGTTACAGTTTTGAATATGCTACCCAAAAGGTTTAATCTGTTCCGTTATACAGTCAGAAAAACCAAAGTCTGAAAGTATTCCTTCCAGATAGGGACCTCTGTCCATGCTAAAATTGCAACTGTATTCCGGAGTTAAAAGCTTTTTAATCCCAGCACTTGGGAGGCAGAGGCAGGCAGATCTCTGAGTTCCAGACCAGCATGCTTACATAGAGAGTTCTAGGACAGCCAGGGCTATGTAGAGAGACTCTGGCTTAAAAAAAAAACCTTAGCCAAAAAAAAACCTGTCAGAAGCCTGTAGTGGCCATTCAGGAGACTGAGGCAGAATTGCTGGAGCTCACTGTCCTTATGGCAGGAAGAGAATACAACCTTGATTTCCCCAGAAAGTAAAGTTTCAGAGACGGTATCAACTCAGCAGAAGTCCTTCAGAGGGTGAAACCATAGGGCCCATGGGCAGCCAGCATCATGGGAAGTGGCTTGTGTCCAAGCCTTGAAAGCTCCTGAGAGGGCCATCTGTGGCAATTTGGCATGTTGGAAGGAAGCAAGGTGAGGAACATATACCGGGCAGCATGGTGGCCACGACCTGGAACCCTTTCAGATTTAGCCCCATGGGGATGCTTCCCAGGCAACATTGAGTCCCAGAGTCTATTGCCCTTGAACCTACAAAGAACATCATTTCCAACACAAGTGAACGTTAATGAGAGCAGGACCCAGAGATATAGGCTGTAATCTAGGAAGGAAGGAAGCTGAGGTAGGAAGATTACTAATTCGAGGCCTGCCTGAAATACAGGGTAAGTTCAGAATCTAGACTGCTCTCAATGAAAGGTTGCTATAGCCTCAAGTAGTTGGAAAGAGTTCACCACTGTGCCTGGCTAACAACCACAAGATGGCTAGGTGGTTAAGAGTACTTATGTCCTTGCAGAGGATCTGGGTTTGATTCCCAGTACCCACACGGGGGCTCACAACCACATGTAACTCCAGTTCCAGGGAATGACACCCTCTTCTGGCTTCCCGGGCACTGCATGCACATGGCATATTATACAGACAAGCAGGTAAAACACTCATACATGCTTCGGCAGTGAGCATACTTTTTAGAAACAGACATAGGCTGGGTGGTGGTGGTGGTGCACACCTTTAATCCCAGCACTCAGGAGGCAGAGGCAGCAGATCTCTGTGAGTTTGAGGCCAGCCTGGTCTACAGATTGAGTTCCAGGACAGGTTCCAAAGCTACACAGAGAAATCCTGTCTCAAAAAAACCAAAAAAAGAAACAGTCATAGTCTTTAGAAAACATCAGAATTTATTGAATACCAATAAATCCACACACTACATCCATTTTGTTGTCTATAATCCACTACTTAACTATGATTTCCCGGGCCAGTCATAGCCACTAACAATCCAACAATTTTCTGCAAACTTAATCACACGTTACACTTCAGAGAATGCTATGCAGGCTGCAGTGTCGCTCAGAAAGAGTGAAAGGGTTGGAGATGTCAGACTTGCTGGAGCAGGCTTTAATCCCAGCACCGAGAGGCAGGGGCAGACCAGGGTTTTCTGTGAATTGAGTCTAGCCTGGGTAAATACCAAGTTACAGGACTACCAAAAGAGACAATCTCAAAAAACAAAAGCAAACAATTAAAGAGGCAGGCTGGTGATGCAGAAGCTCAGTGGGTAGAATGTAGAATACTTGCCTGGCAAGCAAGAAGCTACGGGTCTGGGCCAGAGAGTTGGCTCAGTAGGTAGAGACTGCCAACCCAGTTCAATTCTCAGGTCCCACCAAGAGAACCAACTCCTACAAGTTGTCCTGACCCACCCACCCCCAACACACACACACACACACACATGCACCACTGTACATGTAAACACACACTCTATGTACATAAAAGGCTAGGGGCTCCATCCCCTAAACCAGATGTGGCATTTACACCTGTACTCCCCAACAGTCAGGAGGCAGAGACTGTGGGAACTGACGGAAGCACCCAGCACACTAGGAATCAGGGCACAGAACACAGCTCAGTGGTACAGCTCTTCCTCACAGCACGTGAGGCCAAGTTCAATTCCCACCACTGAACTAAAAGAAGGCAGCCCTGCACAGGAGCACAAACCTTTACTTAATCCAGGTGGATTTCTGACTCGGAGGGCAGTCTAGCCTAGTGAGTTCAGGATAGCCAGGGCTGTGGAGAGAGCTTGTCTGAAAAAAGGAAAGCTCAGACATGGATGCCTGAGCCTGTAATCGGGTCAGTAGGAAACAGGCAGACCCAGGGGAGCTCTCTGGGCAGCAGGCTCTGGTGAACCATCCAGCCTCTGGTTCCATGAGAGCCTTGTCAGGGCAATCAGAGAAGGACGCCTGATGTTTTCCACAGCCTCGCTTGTAGACACATCACATTCGCCACACACAAAAAAAAAGTTAAAAGAGATCCATCAGCCAGGGTGGTGTGCTGTAGCCCAGGGACAGAGTTGGGAGCTCATTGCAACCCACGGTCTGATGACAGAGATCAGCAGATACTGCCATGGCCCAGTGTTTGATGTCCCTCCTCACACGATGGGGTTGGGGATGGGGAGGGTGGTTAGGGTGGGGACTACGCCTTCAATGGTCTGGAGTGTTTAGTAATGTCATAAAAGCTGATTTTTTTTTTCCCTACTAGGGTTTATGTCTACTCGCCCATATATTCCTGGTTCCATTACTAAGCTCATAAGTGGCAGTATTTTATAAGTGTAAATACATGATTTATGTGTCACAGTAATGCTGGGTGGCGGCTGACTCACAGACAAGGCAGTCATCTAGCCCCAGCAGTACAAACCATTTTTAAATTATTTTAGAGTTGTGTTATGAGTGTTTTGCCTACATGTATGTCTATGCACCACAAGCATGTCTCGTGCCCCCAGAGGCCAGAAGAAGGCAACAGATCCTCTGTAACTAGAATTATGGATGACAGTGAGTTACCATGTGGATGTAGGAAATCAAACCCAGGTCTAATGCAAGAGCAGCAAGTGCTCTAAAAGTGTCGAGCCGTCTCTCCAGCCCCCACAAAGTACTGCTGTACAACATGCTACTGTCGTTGACTGAGGGACAGAACAAGCCCCAGGATGAGTTAAAAAACAGAGAAACACGTCTGACGGTACAAGCCTGGACTCAGGTCGAAGAAGGTAGAGGCAGGACAACCGAAAGTCATAGGACCTTATTAGATCTGAAGGGGAAACCAAGTGAATCATGCAGGTAGGACTGATGGTCCCTGTGTGAAACCTTGTGTTGTGTGTGTCCTCTCACCGGACACCTGTGTGTTGCCACCCAGTGTCCACAGGAGAGCCTGCTATTTGCATCTCATTAGACAGGCATCCAACAAGTCCCAACACATGCGCACATCATGACTCACATCCTTCAAAGCAGGAGGCACAAAGCAAAGGCGTGCTCAGGCCGCCCAACAGTTCTCCCCACATCTATAAACGCAACACAAGGCTGAACATTCATCTCAAGGTTCTTGGTCACTGTGATCATCACAGCTTGGGATAAGGAATATCTGTGACCCTTGGTACCTCAGCCTCATCTCGTGAGATGTCAACTCCTTCAAGATCACACGAAGACAGATGGTTTCCATACAAGTTAAGCCGGGTGAGCTGGGTACAGTGTCTCAGGGCAGGCAGAATGGCTTTGAGTTGGGAGTCCATCAGCTGACAGCCCTCCAAGTCCAGGGTAATCAAAGTCGATGCAGTTTTCAGTAACAGAACTCGCAGGGGCTCTAGGCTGAAATTAGTCAGTTTGATCCATTTCAAAATCAGGTGTTTTAGCTGACTGGCACACAGGAACTCACACATATGGGTCCAGTCTGATTTTGAGAGAAAACTGTCAGTCACCATCAGCGTCTCTAAGGGTGTCTTTAGCCACCTAAAAGAAAACAAGAAAACAGTTCTGGGAATATGCAGGTGGTCCAAGATCTTCCTAATCACATGACGAAAACCAGCAGCCACTCTGCTCCGAGATGAGAGTCTGCTCACTCAAATCTGTACTGAGGCCTGCCTGTCACCATCGCTGCTGGATCAGTTCAATCTAAGGGGGCAATTCCTTTCCACACACACAGCGAGGACCAGTGCAGCCAAGAGCTGGCTACATGTGGGTGTGGGTTCACTGACCCGTCTCACCACAGCCTGTTCCCGCTCCCAATGCTTCCCCCTCACCCTGATTCTCAACTCTGACATCACAGTTCCCATCTACTCACCCTCTCTGAAGTCAAAACGAAGCTGGGTATGGTGGTACACACCTGTGATACTACCAGGGAGCTGAGACAAGAGGAGGACTGAGGGGGGTACACGCCAGTTTTATTCCCAATCTGTCTCAAACCCCAGCCTGTCCTTGATGGGGAACTGGAGGCCAGCCGAGCAGAGCGGTGCCTCTGCACAGCACTCCCTTCTACAATGTCCTCCTCTTTTTCCTTTACATCAGAACCCATTCGTACTAGGTCTCATTTCTGAGGACGCTTCCCAGCATGGTACCCCTTTTGAAACCAAGCCCAGCTTGGCCCTACTCCCCTGTATTAGTGGTTATGTGAGGCCCCTCTCCAGGACAGTAGATGCAAAACAATGCCCTGATATTCTGATGGTTTGGCAATGTTAATCTGCCAGTGGCTGCAGACAGCAGGTGGCCACTAACGTCTAAAGGAACAAGGCTTTGCTTTACTCTGAGGAGAAACCTGGCCACCCCTCCTTACCAGAAGAGCTCGTCCAGGTGGCCCCTTAGGAAGAAGACATTATGTAGATGCAGGCTCTGGAGGTGCGTCAGGTTGACAAACTGAGAGGTGAACTGGGTGATGACCCGTTGTTTCTCCACTGGGGTGAGAAAGAAGCCGGACCACCGGAGGTGGCAGAGAAGAAGACTGCGCAGGTGCCTCATACGGCCCAGGTAAGGGGAGAAGTTAAGCAGGCAGGTAGGATTATTCATGTAGTACAAACTCAGTTTCTGGATAGAGTCCAGGTCCAATATCTCCAAGACTTTCCTGTGATACTTAATGGACATAGACCAGATCTGTAGGTGGCCACAGCACAGACTCATCAGACCTTCCCTCCGACCCACCCACTTAACAATGAAGGACTCTATGGCGTCTAGTGGGCCTCTCTTGAGGACCAGGTCTGTCACCATCTTCACCAGCGGTTTCATCTCCGTTCCCGAATGATCCACCCCTGCTAGATTCTCACTCCAGTCACTAGCCATGAACACAGACCACTTGTCCCACGTCTTCAAAGGCATAAACCGTAAATCCAGCACTTTCAGTCTGCACCTCCTGTGGGTAAAACCAGGAAGAGTCTCAGCATAAAGGCACTAACCACTGTCCTATCCCCACGCCCTTCTCCTTGAATCCAGCCCAGTCCCACTTCTAGTAACTAGGAAGCAGGGACTGAGTCTTCCAGCCACTGCCCATTCATGAGTCCTGCATCTGCCACGGCCCCTTCCCAGATGGCTCAGCGATGACCAAAGCCTCTGTAGTGCTCCAAGCTGTACCACCAAAAGCGTCCGTCCCATCCAGTGTCTACCCGCTCTCCCCCATTCTACCCGACCCCATCTGCGACTGCTTGTTTATCCCCAAGGCCTTCTTTCTTTGGGTCTCACTCACCTGTGACTAACCTTCTGGAAAAGCAGGCCATCAAGCTCAAACAGGATAATCTCTAAGATTCTCCTGTAGGCACCCTTCCGCATCATCATGGCTCCCAGTGGGAGGCAGGGGAAGGGCCAGATCCTCACCATTGCCATTATGATGCTAATACATCTCCTTCTGCAGGCCTTTCTGAACAGTGATGGGAAGAAATATGAGGGCACACCATCCAGATTAGAGATGGCCAAGACCGGGTTCCTCAGGAGGCTGTCCTCTGCCAGCTCCTGGAGTGTGGGTGGGGACTTGCAGCTCATCCTGATGGATCTTCAGGAAGAAAGTTCCTGGGGCAACATTTAAAAAGACATCCTTTCAAGTAAGTGCTGAGGCGCTTTTCTCACCCAGGACAGGAACAAACTCAGGGCCACAGTCACTGCTCTGAAGTGGTAGAGATCTGTTTAGCTCACTCCACTCAGTACTCCCCTGACCACAAAGCCATCAAACTTCCTGCTGGCCCCAGAGTATGGTCTCTCGAGTATCCATGGCCACAGTTCACCTCACTACCATTCACTTCCAGTTCGGGCACTGGGTTCCATTCCCAGTGGGAAGTGAGTCCCGTGCACTCTAGAAACTCAACTCCAGCTCCCTGGGGAAACATGTCTCATTCAATACCCTGTTATGGCTGGGAGTGGGGGCACACAACTGACATCCCAGCATTCAGGAGGCAGAGATTTACCTTCAGTTAGAGGCCAGCTTTTGGAGGCCAGGGGATGGGAGCCGGCGAGGAGAGGGAGTAGCAACAACTATTAGAAAGAAGGAGCCGTGGTAGTGGTGTGGTGATAGCTGAGAGAGGCAATGGCCTGTAATCTCAGCATGTGGAACGTAGAAGAATCAGGGCTTGGAGGCCAGCCTCAGCTACACAGCAAATTAGACGCTAGCCTGGGTCACATCAGACCCTATCTTAAACAAGAAATTTTAATACTGTGTCTGCAAGCCGGAGAGTTCTTAGAATATAATTTAAGGACATACAAAATAAGAAGCCTAGTACTCTAGAGTCAGAGGGATCTCCTGAGTTTGAGGCCAACTAGGGCTACACAGTGACATTTTGTCTCAATAAATAAAGAAAGAGCCGGGCGGTAGTGGCGCACGCCTTTAATCCCAGCACTCGGGAGGCAGAGCCAGGCGGATCTCTGTGAGTTCGAGGCCAGCCTGGTCTACAAAGGAGTTCCAGGAAAGGCGCAAAGCTACACAGAGAAACCCTGTCTCGAAAAACCAAAAAAAAAGAAAGAAAGAAGTATCTTTCTTATCTCAACTCCTAAATAGAAAACATTATGAATCCATTTCCAGTTTCAGGCACAATGAAGAGGAAGTTTCACCTTCTCTGGTACCTGTGCTCAGACACCGAGCGGTCCGCTGGCAATGAGTGACGCAGACTGAGAATCACTTATTCCCACTGCCAACAGTTTTTTAAAACACAACTACCACATCCACACTGGCAGGTGGATAGCTATGTTAACATCCGAATTTTTGTTTCTGTTTGAGACAAGGTTCCCCTGTGTGTAGCCTTGGCTGCCCTCAACTCACTGTGTGGGCTGGACACCTGGCTCAGTGGTTAAGAGAACATGTTCTTTTTTTTTTTTTTTTTTAAAGATTTATTTATTTATTATGTACACAGAAGAGGGCACCAGATCTCATTACAGACGGCTGTGAGCCACCATGTGGTTGCTGGGAATTGAACTCAGGACCTCTGGAAGAACAGTCAGTGCTCCTAACCTCTGAGCCATCTCTCTAGCCCTGAGAACATGTTCTTGCAAAGGATCTGGGTCCAGTTTCTCAGTCCCCACCTGGTAGCTCACAACCATCTGTTACTCCAGTTCCAGAAGAGCCCACTTCAGAGCACCAAACACTCATATGGTGCCCATAAATACACGCAGGCAAAACATGCACACATAAAATGGATGTCTTTTTTAAAACATTCACTCTGTAGACCAGGCTGGCCTCCAATTCACAGAGATCCACCTGACTCTCTGCCTGAGTACTGAGATCAAAGGTGTGCACCACCAAGCCTGGCCAACACAACTTTTTTTTTTTTTTTAAAGATAGGGTTTTTACTATGTAGCCTCGGGGCCCTGAAACTCAGCTATCCAACTGCCTGTGGAATTAAAGGGAATATTTTGATCCAATCTGTTAATTGCTTTATTTACCATATTATACATGAAATGGCAAGGCTCCTACCTTCAAGGGCTAGGAAGGCAGGCAGGAACTAACAGCCAAACTGAATTTTTATTAAAATATCTGAGCAGGCATGTTTATATTATTTTTGTGGTGCTGAGAACTGAACCTGAGTGTCATACATGTCAGGGCATTTTTACTAGTGAGCTACATCAGCAAATTCCCAATTAAATATTTATTTTCCCATTCATTTACTTACTTATTGATTGATTGATTGGTTCTTTGCCACAGGGTTTCTCTGCGTAACAGCCCTGCTAACTGGGCCTTTTTAGTGGTGAGCTGTATCACCAAGCTCTCAATTAAATATGGATGGATGGATGGATGGATGGATGGACGGACGGACAGACTGATTCGTTCTTTGAGACAGGGTTTTTTGTGTGTGTGTGTGTGTGTGTGTAATAGCCCTGGATAACTTGGAACTCACTTTGTACATCAGGCTGGCCTCAAGCTCACAGATCAGCCTGCCTCTGCCTCCGGAGTGCTGGGATTAAAGGCGTGCGCCACCACTCCGGGGATCAGAAGTTCAAGTCATTCCTCAGTATACAGGCTCAATGACTCAGCATTTAATCCTAGCATTTCGGAGAAATACGCCTGCCTGGATAGGCAAATCTCCAGTGGGCATGTAGATTAACACGGAATGATTCAGGCTCAGTCCTCCCGCCTCGGCCTTAGGGAGTAGGTGAAATTATCATTGCTACCACTAAGGTCTTGACGGGGTAATAAGGAACAAAGTGACATACATACCAGAGACGGGCAGCGGAGAGATGTCTCCTGACCGCAGCAGGACCAAGATGTGACTCCTGGCTCGAGGACTCTGTCTCCTTCGGTTCCTCTGTTGCCCTGCCTGGCCTGGAACTCAGAACCAGGCTGGCTTCAAACTCCCAGGGACCTGCTTGCACGCCTCTGGCCCACTACCGGCTGCTGAAGCTTTTTTTTTTTTTTTTTTTCCTCGAGACCGGGTTTCTCGTGCAGCTTTGCTGAAGCTTTTACAGGAACTTTCTACTTCCACACCTCCAAGCAAGCTCAGACCTCAATACAAACAGCCACTTGATTGGATGTTTCAGTCTCCACCCACTTTGTTTTTCTCCAATTGAATCTAGAGCCGGATGTGACGAAAACCCTTTTAACACCAGCGCTCATGAGGTTGAGGCAGGTGCGTCTCTCTGACTTTGACTCCAGCCTATTCTAACTAAATATTGACTTCCAGGCTCCAGCCAGGACTACTTGATAAAAGTCTGTCTTTTTTTTTTTTTTAATGTTTTTTTTGAGACAGGGCTTCTCTGTGTAGTTTTGGTGCTTGTCCTGGATCTCGCTCTGTAGCCCAGGCTGACCTCGAACTCACAGAGATCTTCCTGGCTCTGCCTCCCAAGTGCTGGGATTAAAGGTGTGCGCCACCGCCGCCCAACTAAACTCTGTCTTTAAAAACAAAAAACAAGCGGTGTAGGGCAGTGCCCATCTTTAATTCCAACACTCAGGAGGCAGAGGCAGGAGGATCATGGTGAGTGTGAGGCAGTCTCGGTATGCACAGTAAGCTCCCAGACAACAGCTCTGTCTCTCTTTGCCCCTCCCCGCTCCCCCCCCCCCGCCCCCCCAGACAGTGTTTGAATCTGATCTGTGTTCCCCAAAGGTAAAGAATTAAGATGGGCTTAAAGTCAAGGCTCATTCAGGGATTCACTCCACAGAGATTTTTTCAATATGTGAGTGGCACAGTTTTGAAAGAAAGATAGCAAACGTTTAGTCTGTTTCTCATTAGAAAAAGAAAAAGCAGCAGGCACAGTGGCAGAGCACTTTTACACATGGAGGGAGGAGAATCCAGGACAGATCAAGCTACATAATGACAGTCCAACCTGGGCTGCATGAAACCCAGTCTCAATAACTGATACACCTGATGTCACTCTTACAAGATTCTTTAGCCAAGATAATCCACAGTGAAGCTGCCTGAGGAGGACAGCCAGATCCTGTCCACAGAGAACATTAGCAACTCTTGTATCCAGCATCATTGTGGTTTTTCTCTTTTATTTTGTCTTACTGAGACAAGGCTTTGGTATAAGTCATCCAGGTTGGTCTGGAACTTGCTATGTAGACCAGGCTGGCCCCGAGAGGTGATCCTACTGTCTCAGCCTGTCCAAAGCTGGTTCACAGAAGAGAGACACCACACACAGCTGGCAAGACAGGTTCCGGACTCATGCTTCACCACGCCTGGTTTTTTAGATGCTAGGTGTCAAACTCAGCACTTCCCTGATGCTAGGTGTGCTTCCTGCTAACTGAGGTACACCCTCAGCCTCAGGATGTGGGGGTTTATAGAGGGACAGAGATGTAGGGTGAAATCTGCCCAGAGCAGAGATTAGAAACCTTAGAAGCTGTGAAAGGACAGTTTAAATCCAACATGATCCTTGCAGGAGATACAGCCTTCGTTTCCCCAAAAGGTGTTGGGGGCGCGGGGGGCGGGTGATGGAGTGTCAGATGCAATCAACTCAATCACAGACTTGAGGGGAGAAAAATCCAGACTGGGATCAAGGCCAGAGAGCAGCACTGGGGACCTGACCTGGCGGATCAGATGTGTCCAAGTCTTAAAGCCACTGAGGGAACAGGCCAAGCCTCCCTGGAATAATGAAGAGTTAGACAATGGGGCCTGTGTCCCTGCACCCCTTCATCCCACGGTGCCGATCACCCAGAGTCTCTGTCTTCACAGTCAGGGCTCTCCCCAGGCAACCCTGAGCCCAAGTCAGCATCCTCAGACCTTTGAGATATAAGAGCCTCGTCAGAGACACACAGAATCTTAGAGTGTTGGAGGGGGCTGGGGGGGGGCGGCGGTGGGGGGCGGTGGGGGGCGGTGGCAATTCAGGAATCAGGAAGGACGCACATACGGGGAAATGCAAAAGCAAAGTCAGTAAAGTATTTGGGGTTGAGGTGCAGCTGAGAGCCTTGCTTGAATTCCTCAGTGAGCAACTGGAGTGTGCCTTAACGGTAGAGACTTTAGGTGGATCCACAGAACTACAAAGAGGGAGGGAGGGAGGGAGGGAGGGAGGGAGGGAGGGAGGGAGGGAGGGAGGGAGGGAGAGATGAATACAGGACCTAGAGTTAC